TGTGTGTGTGTGTGTGTGTGTGTGTGTGTATACAGAGTATTACAGACACATCCCTAAAAAAAAAAAAAAAAAAAAAAGAACTCAGCGCATCACCAATTTGTGCACAGCGCATGGCGCACACGCACCGCAGAAGTGCACCGCAAGTATGGTCTAAACCCTGCTTTTTCCAAAAGGAGGTCCATTTTAGTGTTTTGAAGTTACAATCTCTTTTCGCACGTTGGAAATGACGACTACGGTCTGCGAATGGCCCTCCCACGTAATCCGCAGGATTCAGAACTTAGAAGAAGCAATAATGATGGTGGTAGTAACCAAAAACTGATATTGTTTCATTGTGGAAAGGCCATATCAGGCCCTCCAATTAAAATAGGAACTACCAGTTTCCAAACCCACCTATAAGAGCAGGCATTACCATAAAGAGTAGGATAAAGATAAGAATGAAAGATAAGATAACAGGACTCGGTGGTGTCAACGGTTTCAACTACGGTATATTCTTTTGGATACTGAACAAAGTTCAACAAACTTCCGACCTCCTGGCTAATTGTTCAAACTTGGAACTGAAGGGTTCTCTTACATATTCCGGTGTCAAACTTAAGGTGTTCTTTTTCCATTGTTCTGAAACTTCGAGTTTGGCAGCGGTGGGGGTGGGGGCGGGGGCAGGGGCGCTGTTGTTGTGGGGGTGCTGCGAGGGCGGGGAGGGGTGTGGTGCGGGGGCGAGATGTGGGACCATGGTGACGAGGTCAAGGGGGCACAAAGCCATACGGCCGGTAGTGGGGAGGGGGCGAAGGGATAATGGCGCAGGGGATCGGGTGTGGGGGCGTGGGGCCGGGGTGGATCATACAGTGGAGGGTATGGGATAACTGGGGGGCCGGGAGCAAGGCGGTGGTGCGGGCGGGGACAGGTATAGCAATGTGGGCGGGCAGTGGGAAGGAATGGGGCCGGCCGAAGGCGGAGGAGGGGCATTTTTTTTTCTGGCCCTCACCCACGTGCCCTTTTTTAATTTGACATGCTTATCCGCATCTGCAGCCACGGGGAACCAGCAGAGCGAAACCAAAAGAGTTTTTCCCCCCCGAGTGGGGTTCCCCTTGCACCCATGCAGGTCTGGGCCCAACCCCAATAGCCTCACAAGGATGTCCACGTGACAACCCTGCTTTCCCAAGGACCCGTCCTCAACATGTGAGTCACATCCCTTCTTCTTCTTCTTCTTCTTCTTTGTTGTCGTTGTCCTCGCCCTCCTCCTCATCAGCGTTGCCTTCGTCTTCTTCTTCTTCTCATTCTTCTCGTTGCCCTTCTCTTCTTTCCATCCCAAGGATTCAAAGCTGATCTTCTCTGTATTACCCAAACTTTAAGGTGTGTCCCACAGGACTGGTTTACTCAAACAACTGATAATACTCCTTGAAGTCGATTTGCCTGTTTCTTACTATCCGCATCCGACTGGCACCCAGCAGGTTCATTTTATAGCTCTCCACTTAAGCAGTACCTCCCTTTGTGGTTGGTTTTGGGATCGTGTGGCTCATGCGCTGCCAGCTCCATCTAAGCTCTTATTTCCATTAGCTCTCCTACCAAATACCATGCTTAAGAAAAGAAAAGAAAAGAAAAAAAAGGTGCCTCGTGATTCCACATTCCTGCCTGCTACGTACGCAATTCCGTCCCAGCTATCCTGCAAGATCATGCAGATGATCACCCTTTGAATCATTGCCAAGATGTTTGTTCTGAAACCACAACAGGTGAGTTCAGTATCACACACACCTTCACTTCTCCGAACCTATTTCGTTGAATCTGCTGTTTGCCTCCCCCTGGAGCTACAGAAACTCAGGTATGGTCGAGATTACGATCCAATGCTGCAGGTCACAAGCCACAGGTTTTTCTCTTTCTTCCTTTCTTTCTTTCAGCTACCCTAGGAATCCTTTGAACAGTACCAACTGCCACGGCCCCATCTACACCGCCAAGATCCAAGGAGACCATTGGGTACAGTCATGCTTTAAGGGATTGGGGAGAAGAGAAGAGTGAAGGCGTGGGGGAAAAGGAAACTTAGAAAAGAATTGGCTCTATTCTGTTCTGTTCATTTTTAGGGCTGCAGCCGCTGATTGCATTCTCGCCTTCCTTAAACCGCGATTTCCAACCGTAGCGAAATGTTGGCCCTACATTTTTAGCTCCCGAACGAATTAAACTGGTCCCCGCCAGGGCGGTTCATCACAAGAATGACCTCCCGGTATTATGCCAGTATGGTTTTCCGGAGAAGGGGTTGGCACTGACAGTTTAAGGGTTGATTCAACTCAGATCGGTTCAGAGGCAAAGTGCTCTCACCAGGACACATGCACAGGCTGACGACGGCATGCGCAACAGTGTAAGAGGGAGTCCCACATGGTTGTTGAAATTCCGTCCAGTTTCATGAATGTGTCCCTGCATGGCCAAAAAAAAACAAAAAAAACAGAGGAGTTGACGAACGAAGATTAGTATCATCCTGACCTGGTAGACAGCACCCCACCTGATATGGCAGACTTTTATTTACTTAAGTGTTTTGTTTTTTTTTTTTTCCCTTTTGATTCTTTTTCCCTGATCTCTAGTTGTGCCATTGTAAATCTGTTTGTGAAATTCGCAGGGTTCAATCATTTGAATTTTGAACTGAAGAGGAAAGCAATCAGTCATGTCAGCCAACCATTTAAAAAAAAAAAAAATTGTACAATTTTTCAGACTTTTCAAAGTTTTCACTAAGTTTTTTGACTTTTTTTCAAGTCTTTTCGAGGTTTTTGTGCGTTTTTCTTACTTGTTGGTTGAAGACGAACTGGAGAGAATCTCCCCAAAGTAGAATGGTGCAAGGAACCAGCAAGTGAGAACGCGGAATTTTCAAGATGCAAGATCTCATTAAAGATCAAACATGAGTAAGCCAAGTTGAAAGCAAATGACAGAACCGATAGCGCACACCAATCCGAGCACACACTGAACACTGAAGTCTCCTGACAATGCAAGCCCTCTTCACACCTCCATAAAATCGATACACGCAACGGAGCAGTCGCCCTAGCTATGGTGGTGTGCGTTGAGCTACGCTACTCTCCTACCCGCCCACACACAGTAGTCTACTACCTCTCACTCCCCTCTCCTCCTTTACTTCTCTCACCAGATGCCGCTGAAGAGTCTGATCAAACAGGAACTCATTTGCCAACACCAGCCGCCAAGTATCCGCCAGTTCCCACTGCATTTATCCTTCCCTGATCCCTTCCTCCACTCACCACCCTCTTCCAAGATCTGTCCTGCGTTCAGCTTGGCAGGTGCACACAGCCAGCCATTACTATGTGGCCTTCTCCATCCCCCCCAGGTGCTGTCTGGCTCCACACGCTGCTGCCGCACACTCCCTGCTGCCCGAATGTGCTTTGCCCTGCCCCAGCCTTGCTTTTGTCTTGTCTGGCCGGCACCAACTGCCTTCTGGTAGGGACTGCCTACCGACCCCAGTCCCTATTGGGTCAGGTAAGGCTTGGCTTGGACCCCGATGTCAGGCCCACACGACCCTGCGGGGTCAGGTAAGGCCTGGCTTGGACCCTGACGTCAGGCCCCCTGCTGCCCGAATGTGCTCTGCCCTGCCCCAGCTTCGCTTTTGTCTTGTCTGGCGGGCACCAACTGCCTTCTAGTAGTGACTAGCTACCAACAGGCTTAGACCCCAACATCCAGCCCCCAGGCTCAACTACTTGGTAAGGACGCAGGTGGCCTTCCCTTAGGGCTGCCATGCTCTGCAACCCTGGTCACGACCTTCTCATACGGCCGTGGCTCGCTTATAACCTCGCCATGGAGCCTTGACTATATAGTATGTATTCAACTTTTTAATAAAAGTGAAAAAAGGAAAAGCGTTGCCCCCCCAGGTACCTGATGAACGTGAGAACTTCCATCCCCGGGACCCTCCGCACCCTCTAGAGCCTGGTCATGGGCCCAGGAACCCCACAGAGAAGAGTCCAGTGAAGGTCTGCTTTAAGCCCATGGGTTTTTCACAATTCGAATCAGCTCTGGTAGGGGTATTTGGGGAAAATCACCTGGGAAAAATGCAACCATCATCCTGTCTTCTCATTAGACAGAAGCGTGGAACATGCTTGTAACCTGCCACTTATATGATTGACTGCCTGCCATTTACACCATTACCCTTTGGAAATGGAAGGGGAGAAAGGAGAGGGGAAAGGGAGAAAAGAAGAGCATTACAAATATGTCGCGCTCTCTTCATCATAAGGATGGAAGAGCATTACAAGAGGAGAAGGGAGATTGGCGGCGGTCAGTTTGACAACTTTGCATGACCTATATCAAGTTATATGATTTAGCACGCTTGCGAAAAGGAAGAGTGGGGGTCAGAGGGAGGGAAGAGGACAGGAAGAGGAGGGGAAATATGGGGAGCGGATTGAGGGAGCACACAAGAAAACTACCGTCTTCAACCGAATAGAACGCCTGGTCATTATAGTCCGTGTCTGGACTGAAAGTTGCACCAAATGCCGATATAATGACCAGGCGTTCTATTCGGGTGAAGACGGTGGTAAATGAAGGTAGGGCATGGCAGAGGCTAGCGACTACGTGGAGAAAGGGTGGAAAGAGAGGAAGGATAGGAAGCCGGGAGAAAGAGGGAGGGAGGAAACGAGGACAGGAGGGAGGGATGGAAGGAGGAACGCCAGGAATGGTACAAAAAAAGGTAGGAGGGAGGGACAAAAAAAAAAAAGAGAGAGAGAGAAAGGTAGAAAATTACTAGAATTGGAAAATGTCACATGTGAGATACCGACAAGAGGAGAAGCGAAGACAGGGAGAAATAGAAAACATGAGATACAGAGAAGTGGAGATAAAGGAGAAATAGGGAAGGGTTTGGACAGTTGGCAAGGAGGGGAGGGAGGGGGCGAGCGCAGAGGTCTGGGGGAAGGAGGGGAAGGACTAGGGAAGGACTGGGGAAGGACTGGGGAAAAGGGGGATGGGGGAGGGAAAGGAGTAGGGGAGATCTCTGTTCAACTTTGAGAAATGCCGGAGCTTTTGCGATGATCCGTGGTGGAGAGCAGTGCATGGGTCCTGAGGACCATCTCACGCAAGAGTGTACATGTCATGCATCATCCTCGCACACAATGATCGAAAGTCCCACACATTAGACAAAGGTAGATGAGAAGAGAACCAAGTTGCACAACTTATATTATCAAAATTATGATTACAAAGAGTTTCTTAGTTTCCTGAGTCCAGCGCTCATCAGCGCTATGCAAATCTCTCATCCAACTCAACTAAGTGGCTACTACACATCAGCGCCACGGTTGCAGATTACATCCAACTCGTCAATGTGATCGCTACCCATTAGCGCCACCTCTGCAGTTCACATCCAACTCAGGTATGTATTCCTCATAGCCAAACCTCGCTTGAACACTCTCTGTCTCAGTCCCTTCCTCCTACGATGCATACACACTCTTCACTCACAAGGATCTACTCTGAATGCTACTCATAGATAACTACCACTAACTACCACTAACCCTCTAAGTCTATACTAACTTGCTGGACAGCTATGGCTGCATCTCTGTCCAGCGCACAGTCTTCTTCCTCACATAGCGCATCTTCTTCCTCCAGCGCTGCTCCTCCTGACTGGCGCACAAGTGCCTCAGCACTTCCACGCGCAGAATGCCAGTGGAGATCTGCGTGCAATGAGGCTGGCTGCTTCCTTTATAGTGATGGCCTCCACACGCTGGTCTGCATTGGCTGCTTCAGGCCTTCCTTTGTCCCAGCCCCTGCATTGCATGTGTCCCAGTACTTGTCCCAATGAAGTCAACTGCTGCTGAGGCCTCTCGGCCTAGATTTGGACTTGGACCTCTGGATCTGGACTGTCCCCTAGACTTAGACCAGAACTGGGACTCTGTTTATTGTCTTACTTTCGAACAGGCACAACCTTGGACGAACAGACACACTTACTGCCTGAACAGACACTCATACTGTGTGAATAGACACTCTCTTTTGCACGAACAGACACACTGACTGCACGTACAGACACACCCTTATCTGAACAGACATGACATGTGCATCCTTTGGCGAATAGGTATACAGACATGACATGTGCATCCTTTGGCGAATAGGTATGTTCTTCAGCAATATCCTTGGACAATGAACTCTAGCTTAGATTTAGATGTGCCCTTTGATAGAGAACTTGTCCGTTGATCTGCTTTCTCGTGTCCTGGGTCCTGGCGAGACACCCCTTCACGCTGCTTTACTTTTATGAGGCCTGTATCCGGTAAAGGCCCTTTTAGCAGTATGATGGGAAAGTATCAAGTGCGGTTCAGACGTCGGGAAAATAAACCGCTGGTTGGTCACCGGCACAGCTTTACCTGTCAACCACTTGGTGACCCTGAAGACTCCATCACTTTGCTTTGCCCTAACTTTGTGACACAGTAAGAAGCTGACGGTTATCGCACTACCGCCTCTGCTTAAAACTGCCCTGTGACTGTTTTTGTAGCGATGTAATCGTTCAAGGGCTATCTGCCTCGAGCACTCGGTCTTGAGGATCTGTCAGCAAATCCCCGACTGATATTTGTCAGACAAGGTCCTAACACCCCCCAGAAAAACTCTGCCTTGCACTTTTTTTTCCAGTCTTTTTTTTTGTTTTCTGTTTTTTTAATTCGTCCAAAATTTCTCAATTTATGTGTGTCATGATGTCATCCATTGTGCAGCGGCCATGCTAATCTTCTCTGCATCGTTCCAATTCTAAAGGATGTCCCGAAGGCCTCTTTTTCCAATTTCCCCTCGTTTTTTGTTTTTTTTTTCCCAGTATTGCCCCTCTTGGACTAGCATACATTTGGCATTCACAGTGCTCAGGTACCTCTGTGAATGCGTATGCTAGTAGTCCCAAAGGGGCAATATTGAAAAAAGACTGCTCCTCTGGGACCTTTTGGGCAAGATATTTGCCACACCAGCTCGGCACATCCAGAGCTTCTGAAGCAATTCATGAGCGTATTTGGCTGCTATTACAGCTACATGGAGCCGAGAAAAGTCCTACCGCCTTCACCCGAATAAAACGCCCGGTCATTATCGCCACATCTGGTCAGGAAGTTGCCCCAAAATACAGCTGTGATGACCGGCCGGGCGTTCTATTCAGATGAAGACGGTCGTGCGAATATGCTCTATTACTTAGTCGATTTCCAATCCTGTTCAGCGTAGCAGGTTATAGTTGCAGACTCTGGATTCCAAAATGTGATTTGGTAAGGCCTTGAAGAAAGAAAAAAAAAGGTGACGTCCTTGAGATATCATCACTGACCGACCACCACGCAATTCAGGAATTCCGTTCATCTGGATCTCAACTCAGGTCTGTATTTCAACAGCTTGTGGGTGTGCAGACTGAGCTAGGCCTGTTGGTATCTGGTAAGGCCACTGCGGCCGTTTTCGGGCTAATTCCATGTCCACAGGTTGGCCCAGTTTGGCCCACTCAATTGCAAATATAACAGTGTGGCTCCGGCGCTGCAATTCACAGCTTCTGAAGCAATTCATGCAAGAATGTGGTGCAAACTGTGATCAGGAGTTCGTCGTCGAAGAAGTGGCTCGCTGCTGGAGCACAGCACCAGAGTATCGCAGCATATTTCACAGCTGCATCTACTTGTAATTGCGGCCAGATACCTTCAGCAGTCTATCCTAAACCCTAAACCCTAAACCTGCGTAGTATCGTGTTTGGGCTCGGTGACCGAACCCGAACGCTCGGTACCAAGCCCAAACGTGGCCCAAAATCGACAGAGCCCAAACATTTTTATTTTTTTATTTTTTTTATTTTTATGTTATACATATGGGGGTTGGGGGGGCCGGGGGGCATTGCTCATCACTCCTTAACATACACACACACACACACACACACACACACACACACACACACACACACACACACACACGCACACACACAAACATACACACCCCACAAACACCCCACAAACACCCCACAAACACCCCACAAACACCCCACAAACACCCCACACACACCACACACACACGAGGACGCGCTCCGCAGCCCCCTAATTTGCGCTCGGCTGAACATGTTCGGTTCCCGCTCGGCCAAGCGTCCGAACATGTTCGGCTGCTCGGTGGGGCGCCGAACATGTTCGACGTGCTACGCGGCCCTAAACCAAAGTGTGTGTAAGCCCTCAGAGTTCCCATCCATTCCTTTTCCTCTGTGCCACAACCATGCTAAAGTTTGGTGTACGGTCCCTAAGTCTCGAGCCTATCGGACTCCACCCCTTCTCTCCAGCCTCATCCCCTAACTGAACAAAGGCAAATACATTACAACTATCACAGGATGTTGGCGCCACTCTCCCGTGACAGTACCGCTTTTTCTCCACCCTCATGACCTAACTACACCAGTGCACTTACTCCATCCCTTCTGTCCACCCGCATCACCTAACCGCACAAAGGCAATTCCACTGCAGCTATCATGGGATGTCGGTGTCGCTCTCTCATGTGACAGTTTATACCTTCTCTCCACCCTCATCACCTAACTGCACCAGCGCACTTAACATTACCAGACGCTACACGAGACGCTGACAGTGACAATCCCTACTCGAGCAATGAGACCCCAATGACGGTGATGTGACAATCCCAATTCAGGCACTTGGACTCCAGTGACGATGCCAATTCAAGCACTTGGACTCCAGTGACAATGCCAATTCAAGCACTTGGACTCCAGCGTTGACCACATTCATTACACCGGATAAGAAAAACCCAAGCGATCAGGAGACTGGTAGGAGCCTTGCGGTATGAGAGGTCGCTGATCACTTCAATTCCCTTCTCCAGTGCATTGAATCTAGTCAACACTGGAGTGAGTATCACCATTCCAGTGACGGTCCGAGACAAGAGGTCCAGGGTCAATAAGGCAACAGAGCACCCTGGCTTACCAGAGATTCCAGAGCAAGACCAGCCATTGCACGTGTTGTTGTCTTCCCAACACTCCCTGCACAAGGCATGACTTGTCACTCCTTTTACTCATTGTTCACTTACTCCCTGCACAGGACAAACACA